GTGCACAGCTAGATGTAAATAAGCCCTCTTACCATCTCTTTCTTGTCGGTGGAGGACATTTCTTATTCTAATTTCGACTAAGTCTCGTCTTGTATTGATTCCATCTTTAGTCTTTCCACTTATATGCAAAAGTGTACCAACAAGGCTCTCACACACATTCTTCTCCACATACATCACATCTAGACTATGCCTCACATCAAGATTTTGCCAATATAGAAGATCAAAAAAGATAGATCTTTTTTTCCATATATTTCTTTCACCGGCAGTCTTCTTCTTCTTCTTACCGAAGATTATAACATTCCGATTTTTGGGCCTAGAAGTATCATAAATAGCCTGAATGAGATAGGCTACCAGACCCCTTTTTAGTAGAGGTCTTAAAGATGAGAAAGGAAGTTAAAGCAGTTTCAGGGACTAAACTGCAAAGTGAAAGTTTTAAGGGGCTAAAGGGTAATCAAAGTTAGAGACTCCAGTAAAGTCTCAAAGGCCCAGAAAGAGAAAAAGAGGCTAGATACAGACCAAAGGTTAAGTTAGAAGCCTCAAAGAGATGGTTTTATGAGGTTGAGCCTAAGCAGGGGTAAAACCGTAAATTCAGAAAGTTACGGCCATCAGGGGTAAAAATAGAAAGTACTTAGAAAATTCTAAGAAAATCCCAGAAAATGGGAAATAATATTCTAAGGCTCTTTTGTGAAGAGAGATGACAAAAATACCCTGAGGTAACTTAAAAGGAATTTATAAGTTTATGGCTCAATTTGAGATGTAGAGGTAGATTTAATTGTTTGAGTCATAAGGAAACCTCAGAAAATTATGGTAAAATGGGGATGTATGATCTAAGAGACTATAAAAAATTATAAAATTAGTCTCATCCCCAGAAGACCATCAAAATGGCTTTAAGAATACTTAAAAGCCAGTTGTGCCGAAAAAGGGCATTTTAAAGAATAATTTTTAAGTGGGGCTACAGGTTGAGTTATGACCTGAGAAAATTCATAGATTTTCTCTAGAATATGAGAAATTTTATGATATTTTTAGATGAATTTTTAGAGCTCTAGATTGAATAAAATGCTCCAGTCAAATATTAAATAATTTTGTCCCCTAAATAGGAGACAAAACCAAAGAAAATATCTAAGAGCCATCATGACGATGCTGAGTCAGCGTGTTGAGTCATCAAGCATAATCATGACACCTACGAGTCATCATGCTGAGTCACTAGAAGATATTTATGGACAGCATAAAAATCAGAACGCAGTACGGGAATATTTTAACAGTCTTTTGTCTACCCGTTATAGTGAAATCTCTACTGCATGACTCAGTAAGGTTAAGTAGCCTGTCAGTAGAGCTAATCATTTTCATCTATGCTCCTCTAAGATGGCGCCATATGTGTACCTTTTATTGGCCAGAATTTTAAGAAGAAGTTGTCCCAACGGTACAAGGTAATTCAAGACTCGAAAAGTATCTGATATGGTGCAAGATTGGCTTGATAGGTGGAGAAATAATTAAGAAAATATTTTTGCACGAATTTTCCATTTATTTTCTCCCTATTTTAATGCCATAAGTGATGAAAGGACATGAAAGTGACAAGTGTACGGTTAGATGAGAAAAAGAAAATATTATGTGTACGACTAGATGGAAGACACATGTACGGTCGGATGCAAGACACATGTGCGGTTGGATTAAAGACATGTGGCTTGATGATGTAAGTATGATGTCATCATGATGAGGTAAGCATGATGTCATAGGACACTTGTCACCGTAAGATCAAAAGAGAAAATGGACAGTCCAGATCGAGCCACGTATTTTTAAGATCAACGGTCCAGATTCAGTCTGTTTTTCTATAAATACCCCCTCCCCTCCCTACCATTTCGTCCAAGCATAAGGAATCCATGGGGAAGCTCTTGCCAAATAGTTTCTAGAGAGAGAAAGAAGAGGGAGAAAGAAAGGCCAAGTGGTTCCAAGCCAGATCAAACTCTAAAACAAGGTATGTGATGGCTATAGCACCTGATTTTATACCTATTTCGGATTAGTTAATGTGCGTATCTGATTCTGAAATTTTGTATGCTTAAAGTACACTCTGTGAGCTTTAAGTCCATAGGTAGAACACTTCATTTGGATATGTGTACGATTTATGGTAATTTTTCAAAGTTAGGGTTTGAAATCTGGAAACAGTATTGAACTTTTGGAAGAGTTTCGAGTTTCGTACAATTCCGGTGCTGTTCAGCGTATAATTGGTTCCTGAAACTAATTTTCATGTAAATTTAACTTAAGGAGATTTCAGTGAGACTTGGAACCACTCAATTTGGATTTTTCTAGAATTAATTATGAATTTTCAAAGTTGAGCAAAAATTCTGGAAATTCTGTGTGAACAGTACCTGCGAAGCAAAATTTCCAGATTTGGTATTCTTGAATCTAAGGCCATCTAAAGTGGTCCTAATTGATAAGAAATGGATCTTAAGGATAGAAAATGATGAGATTTATGTTAGAAAAGCTAGAAAGAAAACCCTAAAAGGAAGAGAAAGGGTTGAGGTTTAAGAGAGCTAGTCTTGAACTTTATGTAACATAGTGGTTCTAATAGATTGTATGATCATTATGACTATGTTTAGGACCTTTGAAACATCCAAGAGGATGTTTGGTGATGTTGACCGAATGTCCACATGGTTGGAAAGACAAGGGAATCAAAGGAAAAGCAAGGGGAAAGCCATGTTACAAGGTAGTGAACTTACCTATATTGTGTGCTTGATATGTATGCTTGCATGATGTGGTTGTGTTGCCATGATGTGACTAAGCTATGATGAAATGTTTGTAAAGTTATGTTTGCAAGTTTATGTTATGTTTTGCCTTGGCAATATGTTATGGAAGCATGAAATGCTTTAGCTTACTTTCCATGGCATTCATGTGTTAATGTTATAACATGTCATGCATGTGCATTATGTCTTGCATGCTTATGGGTAGTGTTTGCTACTGAGATTCCCCGAATCTCACCCCTCCCTAACCAACCATTTAGGTCAATCAATGATGGGCAATAATGGCATGAGAAGCAAGGAGAAGTAAGCGGAGAATTATTCTTGTTAATGGATGAGACTATTGATAAATGTATAATTCTACTATTTTGTAAACTATGTTATGGATGTCAATGATGCCATGTATTTAACTATAATGTTTATGGCATAAATAGAAATGTATGAGAATGAATGGGAAAGAGTAATCCCAAGTTATCTATGTCAAAGAAATAAAAAGAATTAAAGAGATGTTAAGGGATAAAACGTAAGTCCTGGAGCAGTGAGTTTGTAGCTCCAGTTCGACCTATCAAACGAGTGAGTTAGGTCATAAGATTTGGCAAGCAAAGAGATCTGATGTTTTTCTTTAAAATGAGGGGTAGTTTGCCTAATTCCGATAACCGAGCAGAAAGTTATGCCTTTCTAAAGTTAGGAAAAAATACAGTAAAATCTGAAAATGACCAAATGAACAGTAACTTTTTCAAATGAAATTGAGCTTGAATTTCAAAACAATCAGTTCAAAAACTATTTTTCCTCAAAATTTTATCCAAAGAGATTTTTGTAGAACTTGGAATCACTCAATTTCAATTTTTCTACAATTAGTTATGAATTTTCAAAATTTGTCACATTTTAAGGTGACAATGAATAGTAACCCGTAAATGAAAATTTTCAAACTTGATTTTTCATCAATTGTAGCCTTCAAAAGTGATTCCAAATGCTTTCACAAGGAAAGTTAATTGATTTAAACATGAGGTGTTACAAAGACCACATTAATTCCCTCCACCCGCTGATAAACTTCTTCTCCAGTTAATGGTCTTGGAGCCATTTCATATTCTTGTGAGCCATTAAATGCCTTTTTCAGTCTACGGTAAGGGTGATACCGACTAAGAAACCTTCTATGACCAAGGTGTACCGTCTTCCTGCCATGTTTAAGTTGCATATAGTGGGTGCCTTCTTCGCATGTTGGGCATGCTTTATGCCCCTTAACACTGTATCCTGACAAATTTTCACATGCCAGAAAGTCATTTATCATGGTGAAGATCATGGCACGTAAATTGAAGGTCTCTTGTTTATATGCATCAAACACATCAACACCTTCCTCCCATAATTTCTTCAAATCCTCAATCAAAGGTGCCAAATACACATCGATATAGTTTCCCAGTTGTTTCGGCCCCGAGATCATCAAAGATAGCATGATATACTTTCTTTTAGCTGGGACCACCCAACCCATACCACCATAGCAACCATAGAACACAGCTCCTGTGAGACCCCAGCTTGCTGCAGAGCCTAACACACTACAATAGTGGATTGTTAAATTCGGGAAACACAACCCTCCTATTTTCAAGGGAACCTTTAATGTGCAAGTAGTCGAGGACTGGATAACCCGGCTAGAAAAGATTTTTGCTATTTTGGAATGTCCATCTGAGAGGAAGGCTCAGATGGTGATATACAAGCTAGAAGGGGAAGCAGATAGATGGTGGAAGAATACCAAGCTGGTCTTCCAGGCCAACAAAATCCCAGTCACGTGGGAGGTGTTCAAGGACCAATTTTTCCTAAAATATTTTCTCCGATCCGTAAGGGACGAGAAAGAAGTAGAGTTCCTCACCATAAAGCAAGTTGTGAATGAACCTTTTGATGAGTATTTGGCAAGGTACATTAAGTTATCTAAGTACTCTACTTATCTCCAATACATGAACGATGAGCACTGGTTTACTGAGAAGATGATTAAGGGATTGAAGCCTGAGTTGAGAGAGAAGGTGGCCCTAAGACAATTAGAAGTTTTCAACAAGGCAGTGGAAGTCTGCTATCCAGAATCATGTTGAGCTGGCTAGGGCAACCCCATGAGTTGAGAAGCGTGGGGTAAGAATGGGTTAGAAAGGTACTTCATTTGGCGGTAGCTGGGAAAAAAGGAGGTTTAATTGGAGCAAGAAGTCGAGGTGGGAAGCAGAGAATGTTCACCAAGAAAGGGAATACGAGCATTGCAACCGCAATCACAGAGATAGGCCGTGCATGATGGGTCAGAATGTGTGCTTCAAGTGCGGACGACCCAGACACTTTGTCAAGGAGTGCCCACAAGGTGTTGATAGCATGGGGGGACCTCAGGCTCAAAGTAGGGTGTTTACCCTCAATCAGGAAGAGGCTTGTAAGTCACTCGAGATAATCCAAGGTACGGTTACTGTGAATGACTACCTTGTGGATGGTTTGTTTGACTCGGGTGCTAGCTACTCATTTATATCATATGATTGTGCTAAGCAATTAGGTCTTGCTGTCGACACATTACTATATGATTTGTGTGTTTCCACTCCCACTGGAATGAAAATTTCAACTTCTACTGTTTGTTTAAACTGCATTATCCGGTATGCCCACTGTTACGCTATGTTAGACCTAATATACATGCCTTCTATGATATTGATGTTATCCTTGGTTTGAATTGGTTGTCCTCCCAAAATGTCCTTCTTGACTGTAAAAACAAAACACTGATCCTTCCTACCCGAGAGTTAACCCCTACGGCAGAAGTGAAACTGAACTTGATTTCGACAGCTCAAGCGGATAGATGGTTGAGGTAGGGTTTCCAGGGTTATATGGTGTTCTTCTTGATGATGAAGGCAGTAAAACAGAAGAAGGAATTTTAGATATCCTGGTGGTCTAGGAATTCCCCGAGGCATTTTTAATAGAGATTAGCGGATTACCCCCTGAAAAAGAGATTAAATTTGCTATTGATTAGTCCTCTTATTCCTAAGTTTCAAGCTTGATTAGTAAGAGTTTTAGGCTTGAAAAATTGAGGGTATATTCAGCCAAATTTTTGGTCCATTCATGTGATGTTATGGAAGGATAGAGACCTTAAATACCAAGTGGAATAAGCATGTATAAATGGTGTATGGATTGATTTTTGGAAGAAAACCAAGTTAGGGTTTTAGAGCTTTAATTCACCTAGCACTATTCACATAGAAACAAATTATTTTGGCTTGATTTGATGATTCCAATGGGTTTAGAATGTGTTTTTGTGTAGGGATATGTTGTTGGGAAGTGTTTAAAATCATTGGAATCAAAAATGAAATTTTTGGAAATAAATACCCCCTATTCGACCAGCTACTGTTCATGGAGAAGGAGTTTGATTTTTGAAAATCTAATTCCATATTTGAATTCCTCATAAAAAATTGTGAAAAATTAAGTCATGAGGTTATTGATTCTAAAGGAGGAATCATTTTATTAAAAATCAAAGAAAGGGGGAGAAAATGTTAAGTTAAAGTTTAAGGATTGTGTTTAAGTTGTTTGGTTATTAATATAGCCTATATTTATGCTTGATTTAATAGGCTTTGTGAGAAGGAAACAAGAAGAATCATTATCCCTTGAAGTGATCAAATTGGACAAGTAGTGAAAGGTAGCTTTGAATTATAATTTGATTGTATATCTTGCTTGTTTAATGCGATTTTTTGTTTGCTTAGATTGAGGAACTTGTGTTGTGATTTTGGTTGGTTAAATAACCTTGGTTTATGCTTTGGCCAAATTCATTGAATTGTGTTAATGTGGAAGAGTTGATGTTCCACTCCTAGCACGAGACTCAGCATGATTTTATGTGACTTGAGGATGTCATGAAGTTCGATAACATGTCACATTGTGCCTAAGATTGCTACTAAGATTTCTATGAAATCTCATTCCTCCTATGTGAAATTATGTCTTAAATAGGGAATGGCTCATCCATGGATCAAGGCAAGGAATTGGTGGTAGGATGAAAGAGTATTGTGAATATTATGTTGACTGGGACTATTATGCAATATGTTATCAGACTTTATGTTAAGTTTGTAATGAATTATGAAGGGTAATATTATGTAAATTAGATCTATATGACATGCCCTAATGCTGGAATTGTGCACGAAGCATTGTGAAAAGAGTGTAGGAAAAGGAAAATGGGAAATAAATTAGAGAATGTGGCATTAAGGGATAAAATCTCTCTAATTTGTACCAATCTTGTGGCACATAAAATAATAAGAAATTGTTGGAATTTGGGCATGAAATTTTACAAGCTTATAGATCTCATTTTTAGCTTTAAATAAAGTGGTAAATCATCAAATGTGGAGTTTTGTGCTAAGAGTTATGCCCTTCCAAACTTGGGCTGAAATACTAGAAATTCAAAAATTGACCATATGAATAGTGCCCTTTTGTCGAATTTTCTGGTGCTATTCTGGATGGAATTGAGTCTAATGAATATTTTTTTCTCATAGAACTCTTAGTAAGCTTTTTGTGAAAATTAGAACCACCTCGTTTTTTTTTTAGAATTAGGTATGAATTTTTAAAATTAGCCCGAATTCAGATGAACAGTGTATGAATAGAATAAAAAGGAACATTTTGAAACTGAAATTTTTCATCCGGAAACGTTTGGAAATGCATTATAATGGTTCCAATTAATATATAATGGGGTAATAAAGGAGGTGTTACAACGACTGGGGCATGTTGGGCTGATGGATGGAGCCTCTATTTGTAGCTTTGGCCAGAGGTATTGTAGAAAGGCAAAATATCTACAGTATCCATCAATTTGAATTTTGAATTTGAATTTGAATATTCATATGTCCTTTAACTGGTCAAGATTATGAATTTGAATTTAGAATCCAGAATTAACTCCAGATATAACTAAATATATATTTCTCCAATATATATATATCTAATCTAGATAATTTAATTTAAATTATCTAAATTTATATTGTAATTGATTGGATTGCTTATTAAAATTGTTTAACCTAGTCAAACTAATCATAATCTTGTTTGGAATTCTTAATATTGAATTCAATAAATGATGTTCTCTTTCTTACTGCAATATTGTATCCAAATTAATGAATAAACCTTGATTAAAAAAAAAGCCAAAATACAAATAACCCCCTCAACTGTAGCTTTCCTCATCTTTAAAAGTTTAAAAATCACACCGTGAACTTTCAAAGTTTGACATTTAGCCCCCCACTGTTAAAATGGCTGTTAAATCTAACGAAGTATATGACACATCAGATTTATTAAAAACTACTTGGCAGATGATATGCAATTTTTATTATTTTATAATTTATGTTAGATTAAATCATATAATTACATTAAAGGGTATTTTTATAATTCTACAACTGATACTCCCTAATTGTTCCCTTGTCTATTCCTCTTCGTCTTTCTGCTTCTCCCTACTCAGAAGTCTTTCCTATTTGTAAATCTCATCATCTTCATTCTTATTCAAAAATCATCTTCATCACATTTAGAATGAAGAAATTGCTTCCCCTTCATCTTTGTCCGATCTTCCTCATCTTGTTTAAAAGCATCGCAAGCTGACTTGGGATGAACGCATTTGGATAATCTATTTCCTTATTCCAATTTATTTCACCCGTGCATTTTTTTGCCGCAAATGTTTTTGTCATTGATTAGGCTTTACCTTAGTCCAAGTTATTGGCATGCTCTAATTGCAACATGAGTATTCTAATATCCACATTCTTTATTTGGGCACTTGTTTTATTCTCTCTTTTGTCTTATTTCTAAGCATCAAGCTGGACTTAAGGAGGTTAATGTCACACCCTCCTTTTAAACCTCATTATACGTCTATTGGAACCATTACAAGGCATTTCTTAAAGCTTTAGAGTGAGAAGACTCAAGATTAACATTTCTCATTTTGATACTGTTTGTACACTATTCACAGAATTTAGGGTCAATTTTGAAAATTCATAACTAATTCTAGAAAAATTAAAATTGAGTGGTTCTAATTTTCACCAGAAGCTTGCCATGCGTACTTTAGGGGAAAAATACTCGTTAGACTCAATTCCATTTGAAATAGCACCAAAAAAATCGACAAATTATACTATTCATATGGTCAATTCTCAAATTTTCAGTATCTTAACCCAACTTTGGAAGGGCATAACTCTTCGCACAAAACTCTAATTTCAACATTCTACCACTTGATTTAAAGCTAAAAATATAATCTATAATTTTGCCAAATCTCAGCAAACTCAAAGAAATACTTATTATTTTATATGTCCCAAGTTTAGCCCTTTTTAGAGACATTTTATCCCTTAATTAGGTCCAACTTTTCTTTTTCTTTTATCTTTGCTCATTCTTAACCTTTTGGGACTCATAACATGCTTGCACATACATTCTAGTATGCTTAGACATATTCATACATGTTCATACATGTCCAACTCCATAAAGGAGCTATTATCCAACAAATACAAGGCATTCAAAATATTACATAACATAATATAATATTCATTAATAATGTCACTAAGCATTTACATGCCTTCATTCACTACTTCCTGGCCCTTGCCCTTGGTTGATCCTCCTCCTAAGGTAAGTTTAAATATAGGGGAATGAGATTTTAAAGAAATCTCAGTAGCAGAGAATCATAATTATCATGTAATCACGCAAACATAATGTGACATGCTTTTGTGTACATAACTTTATTGTTCATGCATAGTGAAATGTCATGGAAAGTAAACCAGTTCATTCATATTCATGTAACATAATGCTAAAGCATGCTTAACATAACATTACAATCATAATTCAGTAGCATAGCGTAGTTACATCACGATATTCATAGCATATACACACATACACATAAATGTAAGCAAGAAAGCACTTTAATCATAATTCAATGCTACCTCTTGTGTACTTAGTGACTTGTCCCTTTTTAGGTTTAGGCTGTCTCCTTAATGATTTGGAAAAGTACCTAGCAAAGCAATATCAATGCCAATCATTTACCAACCATTCAAACACATTACATAATACTTGAACATTAAACCTCTTTTCCTTGGATTTTTTTACCTAATCATTTCCCCTTGGTTTCAATCAATCTCTTAGGTCATTCCTACATGATTTTTCATGTAGAATCCAAATATCCACTTAGATTTTACAAAAATCACATTCCTTCCTCATAAACATGAATTGGCCGAATAGTATATAGTTTAGGGTTCAAAATTTCATTTTTGATTCTAATGCTTCCAAACTCATTTTTTCAACATATTCCTAACACACAATCACCAAATAAATTCATTAGAAGCATCAAAATCACCAAAATCCAGTCCCTTGTCCAAGAACTCAACATGGCCAAACTATAGGGTTCAGGGTTTCAAAATTTTCATCTTTGATTCAAATGATTTTAAACACTTTTTTTTTATATTTTCCTACACAAAAACATATTTTAAACTCATTAGAATTATCAAAACACATTGAAACAAACCCTAACCCTAAGAACAAGACTTGGCCGAATTGGGTATCTAAATTCCAACTTGATTTTCTTCTATAAATCAATCCAAACAACATCCAAACATACCAATCCAAGCTCATAATCAAAGTTCCTATCCTTCCCTAGCATTTTCTCATGCTGGCCAAAAATTTCAACATAGTTTCCCCTTAGGATTAGTCATGATTTTAACATTCCAATTGCATAAAAATCAAGCTTACACATTGTC